GGACAAGGCGGCCGGCGAAGGGGCGGGCAGCGGCGGCAGCAGCCGCAGCAGCAGCCGCGCCACCTCGGCCGGCTCGTCGCCGTCGGGCTCGTGGGCGGCCCGCGGGGCCGGGGGCCGGCGGCTGGAAGGGGGGAGCCACAGCAGCCCCGGCTCGGTGGCCGCCAGCCCGTGCGGGGCGGCCGGCCGGAGGCGGGAGCCGGCCCTCGAGGGCGTGCTCAGCAAGTACACCAACCTCCTCCAGGGCTGGCAGAATAGGTAAGCGAGGGGCCGGGGGCCGAGGCCCGGGGCGGCCGGCCGCCTCCCTGGCCGTCCCGGGGCCGGCGAGGAGCGTGCATGTGCGCGCAGGGCATGCATGCTTGCAGCCTCCCCGCACCGGGAGGGGTGGCCGCACGAGCCCCTGCGCCTCCGTGCCCTAGCCGAAGTTTGGGGCTGCAGAAAGCTGCTGCTTGCTTCCCCCCGCTAGCAGCTCCCCTCCGGCGGGCGACCCAGCTCGGAAAATCACTTGCACGTTGCTTAAAAAAAGGGTAAGAAGTGCCCCTTAAAAAGAAGTCTCTTTCATTCCTCCCTTCCTGAAACCCAGCTCTACAAAGTCATTTCCACTTTGAAAAAAAAGGGGGGGGCTTAAACAGCGAGCGACGTGTCTTTTTAAGGTCCCTTGCTCTTCCATCCACCCCCGCTTCCCAAACTGTTGGGAGTAACCAGGTAGAGACTAGTGGAAGGGAATCCCCGTTGGTCCCAGGCTACGGCAAGGTGCAGCCCGGCCTCCTGGAGCTCTAGTTGGGGACGCCAAGGAAGGATTGACCAGTGTCCCGACTGCCGTCTGCCGAGACTAACCAGCCTTTTAAACTTGGCTTTGAAAACGCCCCAGATTCCCCAAGAATTGCTAATACCGTTTAAAGGAAACCTCTGCTCTTCTGGAGGGCCACAGGGTGTGGTTTTGCCGGTGCCGGTCTTCGGATTTCCAGAGGCCTCGCAGGTCGGAAAGAACTTGGCATCTCCAGTAGGGGCCCACCTTTTGGGGGTGGGCTGGAAGCAGGGTCTCCTCCCCTCCTTTGCAGTTGGTCACTAGTTATGGTGTGTGCCCTGGTTGGGTGGCTGGGAAGATGGAAACCCAGGAAATTTTCCGGACGGATGCTGGGTTAGCTCTCAGTTGCTGGAAGAATCTTGTGATTGGGAAAAGAGACCTAAGTTGTACTTTCGCTTTTGAATCCTTCTTTTGCTATTTCTGGCTGCCAGCCTTTCCCCTCTCTCCCCCCCAGCTTTTCCTCTGTTTCTCAGCAAAATAAAGAACAGGTGGAGTGGGTGAGTAGGCGATGCAGACCGCTCCAGAAAACCTGGACTGTTTGAAAGGTTCTCTCAGATTTCAGCTGGGAGACACTTACTCTCAGTATTAATGTTACTACCATGGGGCGTTTGGTTCAGCTTTGAGTGAGTGTATCTGGGATTGCCTTCTTCCTCGCCACCAAAGCATCTAATTCATATGCAAAGTGTATTAAAAGACTTTTATAATCACCTGGGAGGGGGAGGATTTGATAGGAATTGGAATTGAGGCAGGCTTTGGGATCAAATCTGAAATCCCCTCTGGTGTTTGTATGGTGGGGGGAGGAGAAATGGGCAGGGATTGGGAAGGGGTGAAGAAGTCTTATCTCAGGTTAGGGACAGGCCAGATATGCACAGGTTAGCCAGCGTTGCCTGGTACCCGAGGCACCTGCTGGAGCCCTGCCTCTGTGTGTGTGTGTGTGTGTGTGTGTCCGTCCTTGTGTCCTTGTTTCTATCTGTCTCCTGTTTATTTTGTGAGGCTGAGATTCGCCAAGTCTGTGCAGGTGGCTGTGGTTAGTGCCTCCCATAGGGGTTTATGTGTGTTCCCCCAGATCCTTCTGCCCTGACCTCTGCAGGGGTGGTGAGTGACCCTGGGCAGGCTGCCCTTCATCAGGGCTCTCCTCCTGCCTGGATGTTTCCAGCGTGGAGGTGGAAGGAGCGGGATCCAGGATTGGGCTAAGGAAGGAGGAAGCTGGCTTGCTCTGAGAATTCTGAGACCCAGGAGCTGAGTTTGGCCCAATGCCATCGCCCCCAGTGGGCACGCAGGTGTTCGCTGAACTATCTTGCCAAAAGAAATAACTAAGGGAGCTTAGAATTGAAGGGTCATAGGGGGGACTTGAGGGGTCATCTGTTAGATTGTAAGCTCACTTCGGGGTTCTCTGTATATACCTAGCACTGGCACATAGTAGGCACTTATTAATAAATACTTGTTCACTGAAGTAGTCCAATCCTCTCATTTTTCACATAGGGAAAACTCGGGTCTTGAGAGATGAACGATTTGTCTAAGGTCACACAGCAGATAGTAAGAGGCAGAGCTGGGATTGAATCCAGGCCTGCAGAATCTGGGGTTCTCTCTCATCTCAAAGGTGCTCTCTGCAGATAGGGACAGATGGCTCCAAGATGAACCTGGAATGTGTTGTAGATGGAGACAGTGTGGTACAATGAAGGTTCAGATAATAATAAAAGTGGCTAACATTTATTGGCACTTACTATGTGCCAGGCACTGATCTGAGTGCTTTGTAATTATTATCTCATTTCATCCTTACAACAGCCTTGGGAGGTAGGTGCTGTTATCTGCATTTTACAAATGAGGAAAGTGAGGCAAACAGATTTGCCCAGGGTAATACAGCTAGTGTCTCAGGCTGGATTTGAACTCAAGTCTTCCTGACTTCAGGCCCACTGTGCCTCAAATCCTGCCTCTGCTGCTTACTACCGGTGTGATCCTCCTGGGCCTCAGTTTCCTCATCTGTAAAATGGGGAGAAGAGAGCAGCCTACATGCTCTCCCGGAGGACCCTTCCAGCTCTGCAGCTGTGGTCTTGTTACAAAGATTATAAGGCCCTGGAGGGTGGGTACTTGTCATTCATCTTTGTATTCCCAGCATGCACTTTGCTTGTGGGACATATTTGTTGAAATGCATTGATAATTCTCTGCCAGTTTATTAAATAACAAATGAGGTCATAGCTAAGAAGACCAATGGTTTCCCTAATGTCCACCCACAGGTGCTTCCCAGGTGGGGATCGCTGCCCTTCATGTTCTGATTGGCGCCGCAAGCAGCCTTTCCAGAACGTTATTTCTGTCCATTGTAGCTTCCGTAGAAATGTTTGTTATAGGCATGGCACCTGCATGTGCAATGCCTGTCCTCCAGCTGATGAATTCTGAGAACTGAGGTTTATCTTTCAATGCCTGTTTTGTCTCAGTAAAATGGGGCCACTTTTGGGGGGGAGGTTAGGGGAAGGCAGATTGCAAGTGGAAGTGTATTTTTCTAGAAAAACTTCCTTCAGTTTTGGGCATCGTTATGGTAAAACACCTGTGGTACTGTACGGATTGCTTTAGGAAGTAATTAGAGAAGACTGGGGCCGAGTTAACCGGTGTTATCTGCCAGAATTCCCAATCCCGGGCCCAGGGTAGCCGTGGGGGCTGGGCCTTTCTATAGTCTGGATACATTTCAAGGTCCTACCTTGTGCCAGGTGCTGGTTGAGGCTGAGAGGGATGTAGGGCAGCAGATGGGACCCGATTCCTGCCCTCGAGGGTGTCTGCCAGGACAGAGAAGAAAGGTAGGTCCATTGCCTTAGGACTTGGGTTCAACTGCCTGTAAGTAAATTAGTTAACCATCTTGGGCCTCTATTTCTTCATTCATAAATTGATGGGTTTGGCTGATGGTATCTAATTTCCCTTTCTCCTCCATATCCACGATCCTGAGTTTTAGCATCATTCAAAGATGCATGGTTCTTTTGGCATCCGTAGCACATGCCGATTGGTCTGTGAATGAATAAATATGTCTGGCTTAGAGAGCTTTAGTGACCTGTCCATGGTCACTCAGCTAGCGAGTATCGGAGGCAGGATCTGAACCCAGATCTTCCTGACTCCCAGGCTAGCCCTCTCTCGATGGCACCACATTGTCACTCGCCCTTTACCTTATAAGATTTTAATTTGAAGGGAGGCCTTGCTTTCTTCTTTGCAAGGATGGCCCAGACTTTTACGTCAGTATCTCAGGGACTTTTTAGGTAAGTTTTCTTTAAAAGTGAGAAGATGGCGATTCCCTTTGAAGAAAGTTTCATCTCTTAAGATAAATATTGCATGTTGTTCCAGGTAATAGAGCAGAGAAGAAATCTGTGTCCTGCTCGGGGTTTTTTTTCACACCTTAGCTTCTAAGTTTGATTTATATGCTTTGTTCCCTCCTCTTTCCTTGAATTGAAATTGCTTAAACTAGAAGGGATTTGGAAACCCTGTAGTCCAGGGATGGGGAACCTAGGTCCTCAATGTGGCCTCGAGGCCTCAGGTTCCCCACCCCTGCTCTAGTCTCTGAAAGGAAGCTTGGGAGAGTGGAAGGAACATTGGACCTCTTGTGGAGTCAAGTTAGTAAGCATTTATTAAACTCCTGCTGTTTATGTGCCAGGCACTGTGCTGAACACTGGGACACAAAGAAAGGCAAAAAGGACAGCCCTGCCCTCTAGGCTCTTCCGTTCAAATGGGAGAGACACCTAAGTCCATAACTGGGTATGATACAGACTAGCTGGGACACCTGGTGAGAGGGGAGGTGTCAGCAGCTGGGGGGACCTGGAAAGGCCCGCTGGAGGAAGTGGGAATTGAACAGGGAACCGAAGGGGCTGAGCATTTCAGGTGTGGGGGACAGCCAGGGCGAGGCCCAGAGATCAAGAGTGTGGAGGAGAGTATGGTGTCTGGAGTCTGGCTTTAGCTTCTTTTGGTATCTCCAAAGCTTAGTGCAGTGCCTGGTACATAGTAGGAGCTTAATAAATGTTTATATTGATTGATGTGAGAAGACTGCAAAGGTTCTAGGGAGGAGGCCAGGTGATGGAGGTCTTAACGTGGGAAAGCAAGTTTATGGTTGATCCTGAGTGGTGGGGAGCCCCTGAAGCTTACTGAATGGGGGGGATCACGTGGGCAGCTGAGTGGAAGGTGGATTGCCTTAGGAGAGACCTGGGTACCAATCTGGCCTCTTACACTTAACGTGCTTTTTCACTTGTTAACTGGGGATAATACAACCTATGTTGGGCTTATTATATATAATTATATGGTCTATGTAATTGGGCTTATTATACGTAATAACTCCACGGAGTTGTTGTTGGCCCAAATGAGATAATGTATGTAAAGTGCTTTACAAACGTTAAATTACCATTTAAATGTCAGTAGTTTCCCCTAGGATCTGGGTTTTGCGTCTCAGTTCTGTTCCTTATTCTGTTCCTGTGTGACCCTG